GCCACCATCCCTTATAAACTTTATTTCAAGGCAGCTCATTGGCAATGGTTTCAGACTTTTTCAGAAGGTTGTAGATTCTTTCAGATATGTTTCTTTTATTAGGTTTTCAATGAAAGGTGGCCTTTAATTTTCTGAATCTACCTAATGGGACAACTCTTCTTTAATAAAGAAAAATAATTTAAAAGAAAATTTAATGCTGCATTTTTGTTATATCCTATGATCAAATCATCTACCCTTGGATTCTATAATTTTTATCATTAAATTACTGTAATTTTTTCAGTTTTTGATATCGTAGTTATTTGTGTAAGATGCAGAGATGGATTACCAAGATAACGAGGATAACATATTTTTGTTAAACGAAGCATAGCACAAAAATTAGAAACACATTAACATGGGTTCTTTAATTATTACAATATTTGAGGGTAGGGTTTACCATGGTTTTGTGAACTCAGCCTATTTTATTTGCAATGGCTACTTTGAAAGTTGAATTCAGCTGATATCTCATTTTCTGCTTCATCATGCAAAAGTAAAACATCCTTCCATCATTGCATGTTTTATTTGATAAAATTATCTGTTTTCTTATGACATAAACCAATCCATTTTATAGGCTGTGTCTTCTATGACGAACCACGGTAAAGGAGAATTCAACAAGGCCTTAGGGGATCCATTATATGTTAGAATTCGTGAAGCTCTATACAACACTAGTGTATCAAAGGCCATGAATGGTGGAGAGCTTCAGCAAGTTGCAACAGCTGAAGATCTTGTTGAAAGCAAGCATGAAGAGGAAAAAGATGCATCGAAGGAAGATATGAGTAACCAATATGCAAATAATGCCATGCCAATGACAACGAATACAGAAGAACTAGGTAGTAGCAAAACATTTGGTGAGATTGTAGTAGATACTGAAGAAATTGTAGAAATTGAGGAGGGCAATAAAGAAGTAGAAGACATTCCAATGAAGGAAGTTAACAAAAGTGTAATAAGAGGCAAGAGGAGTGTATATATCAGATCAGAGGTAGAACATGCTCTGCAAACATTAGACAAGGCCATTTCAATGGTTCGTGAACAGAGATTGACCACTTGTATAAAAAATGATGATAGAAAGGATTCATATTCCTTAAAACTCACTCAAATAAGCTCCAAAACTGATGTTGGAGCTGAAGTACCAAAGGGAGATATTCCAAAGGGAGCTTTGCAACAAGGGCGTGACACTAACTCTGGTATCCAAAACTCGAGGTGATTTATATGTTGTTTCTGTGGTTGTTTATAGGAATAGAAGACTGTGAATTTGCTTCCTTATGGTTTTGTTTGAAAATAAGCAAAGTAGTTTAAGATGTTGCTGATCATCAGTTTTTCTTTATACTTTTTTGTTCTTTCAGATATACAGGAACAAATCCTAACTTGAAGGAAGTAAATTCTAACAAAGTAGTACCAACTTCATCGGAGCAGAATCTTCCAACAGCTATTTTGTCAAGCCAAGCTGTTTCATACCCTTTGGGAAATGGTGCAATTCAGCATCAAACACCAATCAGCAACAAGCTATTGAACACTGATTCAGTTGAAGATGTTCCTTCAGATCATGCAGAAAAAGCAAGCAAGCAGATAAAAGTAAACACCATTGCAACTCATGATATGAATTCAGAGGTACCAAAGAAGTTATGCAGGAAGAAAAAAATTTGGCATTTGTTTTCTGCATTAACTAAAAGGAAAAAGAGTTAAATGGGAAAGAGCAGAAGAAGAAAAGAGGGTATGTTTAGGTATCTTTTGAAAATGTCATTGAAGCTCCAATAACTCAGTACAGGTTTTGTATACCTCAACACAATTGTTACTTACTTGTATAAGTGTTAATTTATCATGTATTCCAACAGGGTTCTCCTCCCTTTTGTTTTTGTTGAAAATTGCTGTATTTTTTTTCTTTTATTTTTACTGGCCATATAAATAATAAAGGTCCTACTAACTAATGTTTTAAGGATACTGATTAAGAAATCATTAAGTAGAAAGTTTTTTTAATTAAAAATAATATTGAAGTTGTATTGGAAATCACAGGGAAGTGTGCTATTACACTTCTACAAAAAAAGCTTTATAATTCTTAGTTAGTGTTCTAAGGATATTGGTCGTTGCAATTAACATGATGACGAAAATATATTAGAAAATAGACGAGTTACTACAAATGTTTGTATAGGAAAAACATAGGAAAAATCTTTAAGAAAATGGTTCAGGAAACTGAATTTGAGTTTGAGAATAGATTTTGTACAGAAAAGATATTAACGGTCCTCATAAGAAACAGTTAGTTCTGGTTAATTAAAATAATTATTTATAAATTTTTAAAATATTTACCTCATTTTAAAAATAAGATAAAACATTGTATATAAAAATAGTTTATTTATTTATTTTGATGAGGATTAAATTGTTGTTATTATCAAGAGAAAGAAAAGGTAATAACTTATTATAATTTTTAATTTAAGGGTGATTTGTGATTTTATATATTTCCATGTACAATGAAGAAATATATAAAATTAATAAAGTTATACACCCAAGTCAACAAAATAGAAAATTTTTATTTTGGTCATTATGTAATTTAATTATTATATTTAATAAATAGAAGTTCTATTAAATAAAGTCAACATAATTTTTTTCCATAAACTTGGACATTAAAATAATGCCACACATTAATTAATAATTTCTCCATAAAAGATTTTGTCTTGCTTTGATCTTAGTTTCATTATAAAATACTTACATTTAAGATTGTATATATTTTAATATTAACCAAAATTTAAAATAAGTTTAGATGAAAGACTTAAAATAATAAAATGTCAGAACTTACAAGTTAGAACGGTTTAATGTCTCAATAAGTCCCTATTTTTGTTCAGAATTTGAAATAGGTCCCTTTATTTTTTGGCGTCTCAATTAGGTCCTTATTTTTGTTAATTTGATGCAAATAAATCCTTTCCGTCAATTTCATCAAACGGCGTTAATGAATGTGTGACGTGACCCACGTGTCAATACTGTCCTCAGGCCATGTCACACATTCATTAACGCCGTTTGATGAAATTGACGGAAATGATTTATTTACATCAAATTAACAAAAATAAGGACCCAATTGAGACGCCAAAAAATAAAGGGACCTATTTCAAATTCTGAAAAAAAATAGGGACCTATTGAGACATTAAACCTAAAATTAAAAGATATCACATCCAATTAGGTATTTCAATTGAAAAAATTATTACATTATTTTACAAAGTTATGAAACAACAACATTAATGTGAATATTCACATTAATGTGTGTGTGTCATGTAAGGTAGTCTCATATCTTTATGTGCACATCTATGTGTGAGTGCATGTTTACAAATTTACAATTATGATAAGCACGTTTGGGTAATGGTTTGTTTGGCTTTGATGGAGTGAATGCAATGCATGTTGTCATATTCTCTAATTTGAACTAATCAATAGTGGCATAGCATTCATTACATCATCTTAATTTAGTTCCAATTTCCTCTCAATGAGGTTACTCATGATATTTTATTGGATTAAATCTACTCCTTTTTTTTCATCATTATGTAGTTTTCTCAATCTTATCCTATTCAAATTTATAGAAACATATTAAATTATAAGTTATGTTATTCTAACTTCATAAATTATCAAATTATTAAAAAAGAAAACAATGTAGAAGCTTATCATTGAATATTGCTATTAATATTTTACAGAATATTGATGAATACTTAGCATTTTTTGTTAGAAGTTACAAATATATATTAATAGTCAACCTTGATGTTTAATTTTATAAAATTCAATAACTAAATTTGTAATTAAATTTTTATAAAGATCAAAATTGTATATTTGCAAAACTATAAGAGCTCAAGACAATTTTAGTCTGATTTTATTTTTGTTTAAGTGGTTATAAGTGTTATTTCTAACGGAGTTTTGCCAAATTCTAAGGAAATTAATATCTATGAAAAAAATAGATTTTTTTTCTCATTTAATCAAAAACAAAAAATTCCATGTAACGTACTGTCCCTTTGGTAACGGTCTGAATTCAGTTTGGACATCCAATTTCTATAACATCAAATTTTTATGTTTAGAAGAAATAATTTTAAAAAAATTAAAAAGAAAAAGAGTGAAAATTTTAGTTTATGTTTAGTATATATAAATTATTATTTTACCTATTTATTAATTTTATCTTCTTTCTTTTCACATTTTTTCTAAAATTTTTATATTATTTTTTTCTTCAATCAAAAGCTTCAATTTAGGAGACAACAAAATTTTAGATAACATGACCTAATCATTTGTACAAAATTTGTCATTTTCATTCTCTTTTCACTTGTTCATTCTCGTCAAGTTTCCTGGGATTCTATTTTTTTTGTGTCTATTCATTTCAACTCTTCGATCGTGTAATTATTATGAGACATCCTATTTTAATATTTATATAATTATAATTTTCCCTTTAAACATTCCCCCATGCAAAAGTAGCTAAAGAAATGAGTAATGATTCTAGAACACGAAAAATCAGCATTACCATTTAATATACACTTAAAAAAACAAAAAAAAAAAGGTAGTTTTATACATTATGTAATGTAATAAAAAAATAAAATAAAAATTAACCCGTCTATGAATTTTTTTTAAATGCGAAACAATTTTTTTTGGGAGTTTTTATTTTTTTTTGTTGTATGAAAAAATCACATAATTATCCATCTTAATATTTTTACAGCAAATGAAATTTGGGATTTGACTTTAACAAATATAGAATAGATAAATTTAGTGGTTGATAACATGTTTGGGCATGTAAATAAACATGTACAATATTAATATTAATGATTATTTTCATTAACAAGTAATAATGTTTATTTCAATTTTAATAGTATAGTTAATTCACTTCAACGTGTGGTGCACATGGAAGATACAAATTAGCATGCACTTGGAGAATTGATTACCCTAATAGGATCAAAAACAGATCATAATTATCGTATAATAAAGAAAATTAAGAAACAACACAAGGGGAGAGAGCAGAGAGACAGAGAGAGAAAAAACAAACAATTATCACCGGCGAGGGCGTGCCGTCCGCCGGCGGTTGAGAACATTCTGAAAACAGATAGACAGACAGAGATTGCAATTTGACCTAATTGCACATAACAACAACGACGTGACAACCACGTTTTGAAAACTCACCAAATCTCAACCGTCCACTCCGATTTGTGGCACCCTTCTCAGCCCTCCGATCACCAACGCGTTGTCTTGCCTCTCTCATTAATTCATTTCTCTAACAGAAAAAACCGCTACAACTCCTTCTCTCTTTCCTTCTTCATTCCACCCCAAGCTCTGGTTTTTTCCTTCCACCGCCACCCTCACGCCTTCAAAATCAAAACCCTTTTCCTTTTACGTGCGTTTTCGTTTCTCTCTTCATCATTGCCTAAAGGGTTTCTTGTTCCAGCCATTGATGTAGCATTTTTAAAAACTTTCCAAATCTTGAAAAACCTTTTTTTTTCTTTTCATTTTCTTTCCATCTTTGGTGCCCTCCTCTCAGCACGCTTGCATGTGCATGCCTCCCCACTGTGGGGGCAAAAACAAAATATTAGTCGTTCAACGAGCTTTCTCGCATCAATTGCATTGCACCATCGAGCTGACATGGTATCATAAACAAGCCTTTTGTTTTTCCTTTGGACAAAACTTAGGTGTTGTTCTTAGAATCAGAGTTTTATATTAAGAATCTACGTTTTTAAAGATTTGCACTAAGGATAATATAGGTAAAACTCGAACTCTTATTGAAAAACACCACACGAGATAACTATCTTTTTCTTTTCTTTTGTTCTCTTTGAGGAGAAAAATAAAATTGAGTTTGAGGGTTTTTTTGTTTTTGTTTTTTATACCAGATGCTTGGAACAAGGAGAAGTATCTAGTGTCAGATGGGAAACAACTGTGTTGGATCGAGAACCTCTACTTCTGATGCCGGAACTCGTGGCTCTTCTGTTTCTAGTTCATACTGGTGGTGTCTTGGACAAAAGAAAGATTCTTCTCATACACAGAAAGGTGGCAAAAAGAACACAAAAGCCATAGAAACTGTTCAAGACCAGCCTCCAGAGGTACTGAAAATTGAGAGTGATGAAGTGAAGCCTCCTCGTCAAGCCAAAGAGACTATACCACCTCCGGAACAAACAAGGGCGCAGCCCCAAAAACCAAAGAGGCCACCCAATGTGAGGAAGCCGGCAAGTGCAGGCCTCAAAGCAGATTCTGTTTTACTAAGGAAAACCGGCCACCTTAAGGAGGGTTACAATATGGGACCAAAGCTTGGACAGGGCCAGTTCGGAACTACTTTCCTTTGTGTGGAGAAGGCTACTGGGAAAGAGTATGCTTGCAAGTCCATATTGAAGAGGAAGCTGGTGACAGAGGAGGATGTGGAGGATGTGAGGAGGGAAATTCAGATAATGCACCACTTGGCAGGCAGTCCTGATGTGATCTCAATCAAGGAGGCTTTTGAGGATGCTGTTTCAGTTCATGTTGTTATGGAGCTGTGTGCTGGCGGTGAGCTCTTTGATAGGATTGTCGAAAGAGGGCATTACACTGAGAGAAAGGCAGCCAAGCTTGCAAGAACAATAGTTGGTGTCATTGAGTCTTGCCACTCTCTTGGAGTCATGCATAGGGATCTTAAGCCTGAGAATTTTCTCTTTGTTAATCAAGAAGAAGAATCCCCTCTCAAGGCTATAGACTTTGGACTTTCTGCTTTTTTCAAACCAGGTTTGTCAAAAATGTTTCTTTGTTTCTTCCCCTTGTTGCTTTTGGTTTCTTTAAGAGTTGCTATGGGCCAATGATTCTGATTAATATCCATTAGGTGTGAGCTGTGACTTTTATGTTGAATTTAATATCCATGTTTGACAAATAGTCATATTACTGTGATTATATTACTAAGAGTGCAGTGATCATCGACAAGCACTTGGATGTGAGAAATTTCTGCATTGCTCTACTCATATTGTAACCCTCATCATTTGCAGGAGAAATTTTCAATGACGTTGTAGGAAGTCCCTATTATGTAGCACCTGAAGTTCTACGCAAGCGTTATGGCCCCGAAGCAGATGTATGGAGTGCTGGTGTCATTATATACATTCTCTTATGTGGGGTGCCTCCATTTTGGGGAGGTAATAGCTCCTAACATAACTAGCACAATATGATCCAACCATTTTGGTTACCTTTTACTGAATCTTGTAAGAATATGCAATGACAATATAAAGGTTTTACATAGTCATCCGACAAATACAATGACAGTAACTTTTTTTCTTCCTTAAATGTTACTTGGTAACAGAAACGGAGCAAGAGATATTCGACGCAATTTTGCATAATCAACCCGATTTCTCATCGGATCCATGGCCTTCCATATCTTCAAGTGCAAAAGACTTGGTTAGAAAGATGCTTGTCAGAGACCCTAGTAAACGGATATCAGCTTTTGACGTTCTTCGTAAGATTATATACTACAATCTCTTTTAGATGTCAGTGAAACAAAAGTTATTACTCTCACACCACGTTTGCCAAGTGATAATACACTATATATATTTCTTCTGCTCAGCCTTCTTTATTCTTTTAGATGACAACAGTTCTGTTTCATACACCTGCATCACTTAAAGTTTATAAATAAGTTACTCATTCAGTTTTTCATTAAAATTCTGTATGTTAAATATTTTAATTTTATTATCCAACAAACTGATGGAGAATATTGTATCTTGGGATGAAAGATTAAGCATTGTATTACTATTTTCAGAAGTGAGTGTGTTATAAAATGGTGGAACTTGAGGTATTCGACAACATTGTTGATGATGATTTCCTGAATTATTTGGCAGGTCACCCCTGGATTCAAGTTGATGGAGAAGCTCCTGACAAGCCGCTTGATTCTGCAGTTTTAAGTCGCCTAAAGCAGTTTTATGCAATGAACAAACTCAAGAAAATGGCTCTCAGAGTAAGTTTTTTTTAAGTCTCTAGTCCCTTTCCATGATTGTATTTAATTTTCCTCTCTAAGCATGGATGTGTTTGAGAATAAACTGAGCAAATCTCTATAAGAGTATACACCATTTTTATATGGTGCTCTTGTTCAATTCTACTCTATATGAGACACTTGTACAAACTCTTTGATCCAACAGGATAACTATAGTTTGTGCAATTTTTTATTTTATTTGCAAAGTTGAATATGGCATCTTATTACTATTATTGCTGCTGCTGCTAAATTGTATTGCTTAATGTTGGAAATCTCTGCTTAGAAGTCCAAACTTAGCTAAATTATTGCTGGTTTATGCAGGTCATAGCACAGAATCTCTCTGAAGAAGAAATTGCAGGGTTGAAAGAAATGTTTAAGGCGATAGACACAGACAATAGTGGTCAAATTACTTTTGAAGAACTCAAGGTTGGACTGAAAAAGTTTGGTGCTAATCTCAATGAATCTGAAATATACGACCTTATGCAAGCAGTAAGTGTTCGGAATCATCTTACTTTATTACCTTAATTTCATAAAATTAGAGATTGATAATAGGTGATAGCATAGGAAAGGTAAAGTTTTTCAATAGTACATTGTTCTGAACCATGGAATCCAATTTTGTATGGATTCCAGGCAGATGTTGACAACAGTGGCACAATTGACTACGGAGAATTCATAGCTGCAACATTGCATCTCAACAAGGTTGACAGAGAAGATCATTTAGTTGCAGCTTTTGCTTACTTTGATAAAGATGGAAGTGGCTACATCACCCAAGATGAGCTTCAACAAGCTTGCGAAGAATTTGGCATTGGAGATGTTCGCTTGGAGGAAATGATCCGAGAAGCTGATCAAGATAATGTGAGTATACATACACTATACATATATATATAGTAAATTAAGACCATCATGCTTTCTGAACTGTGCTGAAGAATATATTATTGATGGAAAGTTTTTGGTGGCCATAAAACATCTTTAAGATTGACATTACACTAATTTTATGGTATGATAAAATTCCAAATTTTGATGACTGTGTGTATGGTTTGGCCTCTCAGGATGGACGAATAGACTACAATGAATTTGTGGCTATGATGCAGAAAGGCAATGCAGATATGGGTAAGAGGGGTCGAAAGGGTAGCACTAGTTTTAGAATATTTAGGGAGGCACTACCGGTGTGTTAACTAAGAAATAGTGGGTGAATTTCTCTGTGTATTTGTTTTTTCTATCATTTTTTGGTAAATTAGCATTTCCTCAACGGTTTGCTGAGCTTAGTATCTCTTGAGGAACTTCAATCACTTGTATTGCACACAGAAACATTAACACATAGCCTTACATTATGGATAAAAACACTGATTTGGCAACTTTGTTTCTCAAGTACTACAAAGAAATTCAAGTTTAACAAGAGAAAATGACTTCACTACAGAGTTGGTAAAGAGGAGTTTTCAAAGGGGTTTTTGTTATGGTTTTACACTACAATTGAAGTTCAAAGTGTTATCATGATATCTGATATCTGATGTAAGAAATGTTCCTCTCTGTCTCCATTTCATTCATGACACAAGGTTCTGTGTTGTTGCCTCACTGCTAAACTCTTGTATACTCTCACAAATACATATATGCTATAAGAACACAAGTATAGTTATTCAAACATAATTTAATATCATATTTTTAATAATAATTTTCAAAATTACTTTAAGGGTGTAAATATAGAAAATGTTTATATAAATAATATTATATATAAAGCTTGGTGACAGCAAATGACAACTTTGAGTGGTTGAATTATAGGGGTTTACGTTCAATAATTCTTGTTCAGCCAACCCTAATTCTGTGATGAGGACAATGGAACTAACACTCAATTGTGGTCAATATCATCCATTTGGAACCTAAATTATTAGGTTTTTGTTACATGTCATCCAAAGTATGGTTTTAATTTATTTATATTAAATAATAAACCTTTAATATTAAAATTTTTATTTTTAACTATAGTAAATATTTGCTTTTAAAAAATACTCGAAGTTGGTATTCATGTTTTCTAATTTTTTTTTAATTCATGAGTCGGACTATGAATAAATTATTATTAATCCTAATAAAATATAAGTTACTTCACTTATAATATATTAAAATTGAAGGAAAACCATTGTTGGAATTAAAGAATTTTAATTAATAAATAGGTTAATTTGAATTCTTTGCTGAGTTTTTTTATGTTATTTTCTGCTGTATCTTTAAAATATACTCATGATGCTCACTGTTTTTAATGTTTTAAAATGTCTTAATTATTTTTGAAATATTAAAAACAGTGTATTTTGAAAACATAAATAGAAAAAAAAAACTCAATAAAGAAAATGGACTCTTAAAATTAAAATTACTCTATTCTTTTAAAAAAAATTAATAAAATTCTAAACAAAAAATTTGAAGTCCTAAATATAACAACTTTCATACTAGAATGAAAGGAAAATTTAAAATCATTCACTATATATATATATATATATATATATATATATATATATATATATATATATATATATATATATATTTCTCTTACCTATGTTACTTTGGAACAAAAGTGTATGGGCTGGCCCCTTCTTACAAAATGGGCTTGATTAATGTAATTTAACCCAATAGGAACAAGTTTAATTAAAATTTTAATTTCTAAACTTATTCACATATTATACACAATTGAAGTTGCTAATTTAATTTGCTTGAACAAAATTTTACGCACGTGATTGAATCAATACTTCCACGTGGATTGGATTAAATAAATTGAACCATATTTAAAATTTAACTCAATTACTTGACAACTTGTTTAATTTATTAACCAAGTTTTTTTAAGCTAATCAACAAAACGAGTCTTAAACTAATCCTAATTATCAAGCCACTAATTATTTGCTATATTATTATAGAAATGACAAGGATTTGCTTAAGATTTTGATATTTAGTTGTTTACACCATTATTTTGTGCTGAATATGCACCACCACATCACCCTTTAAGACCACTCCAAAACAATGATGAAACCCTATTTATTTATTTATGAATAAGGTCCCCTATGCACACAAATGAGTTGGATTGGTTGGGCAATTAATTATAAGTATTTAATTATGTGGGGCCTCTAATCAAGAGATTAGTAAAAAGTGTTGATGCCTCAATTTTGTCTTAAAAGATTTAATTGATTGTTAAGTATCATCCTTCACTTAGTCAAATCTCCAACTTCATAGTTTCAATCACAATTAATGAGAATGCTATCTAATCTAATCTACCCTTGTTAGGCTAAATCATTTACCTAATTAATAGAAACTATCTATTTACTTTATTCTTCTTAATAACACACTATATATTGAATTTTTACTATTATAAGATTATTACAAACAAATTTTACATTGATCTTAAGCATAGTTTAAACTACCAAAACTATTTGCTTAATTAAATTTTTAGAAATCATGAACAAAATTAATTTCAAATATTAATTAAGAGAGGAGTGAAAAAAAAAGTTTAGTATTGATTATTAATATATATGAGTTGTCCTCTTGGTAGTGTCATTTTTATTTCATTTTCTTTCTTTATCTGAGTTTTATTTTCTCCATAAACATAATAAGATAAAGTGATGTGTCTTGAAAATGGATTTAGGAGGTACGTAATTTGCATAATGAGAGGGGTCACTTAGAAAGTTGAAAAGCTTATTCTAACCTTTGAAGAAAGCATGGATTTACCTATGAAATACACTACAAAGCCATGCTTTCATCTTTCAATCATACATTATAGGCCAAATTAAATTTTCATGCTTATGACTGCTAACTTTAAGAAAACAAAAATCAACCAATAATTAAATAATAATATTCTGATAATCTATCTAATGATTTCATTCATAATTTAAACTTTCTACTTGACCTAATTTTTTGCTGAAAATATTCTACTCTTTTAAAGTAAATTTCGACGTATAATTTAAAAGAACCTCTATGAAATAAAAGTAACTTTTTAATGAAAGAAGAAATATTTACAAAATGTAATTAATTAAACAAATTTATGCTAAGGAAAGTAAAACTATAGAGCTAAGCCTTACCCACATGTTAAGATTTTTTAGGTTTAATTGTAGTTTCGATCCTTCATTTTATAAATTTTCAGTTTTATTTTTATTTTTCTCAGAAATGGTATCTGTAATTTGGTCTTTATTTTTTTTTTCTGTGATTTTTCTTGTCCTTTACTTTTTAATCAGTTGCATTTTCTTTTGTTTTGCTAACATTTGATTATACAGGTTAAAGGACTTTTTATATGTAATAAATTAACTTTTTATTACATTTTTAGTGAATTATAAATAAATTGCCTATGTAAGTGTTTTAACATATGAGATTAAGATTAAACGTTTTAAAACTGAACAGATAATTAAAATTAAAGTATCAAAAGTGTAAAAAAATCATGAACCAAAATTCCGGATTTACCAAAACATAGAACTCAATACTGCATAAAAAAAAATAGCAACAAAAACTGTGGACTTTTAAAAAAAAGTAGAGATTAAGATTAAGTACAGAAATTTAAGGAACAAAACTACATATTCTGTAAAATATAAGAAACAGAATTTTAATTAAACTGAATTAACAAAAAAACATTCCTAAATTTTAGTATTATATATCCAAGCACTTAATTACACACACATATAAATTCTATAGTAAAAATCACCATCACAATAGCACATACACAATTCAAATAACAAAAACAGAAAAAGTAGAATAATAAATTTTTTAAATAGCAACAAATTTTAAAGTTGAAAAATAATTAGTTATAATAATTAATTTATAAACTAAAAAATATTAGTAAATTAGTATATAAAATAGTTTCTATTATGAATAAAAAATTATAATTAGTTTGTGAATTAGATTTTAAGTTTGTTTTACTAAAAGAATTAATGCCTAAATTGATCACTAATAAATTAGAGATAAAATTAAACATTAATTCATTTAGTAATTTACATGAAGTAGTGTAACTTCCAATCAACAATAAGATAAAGGAATGCAACAGTCTTTGTATGAGAATAATAATATAATGTCTTGACCGCAAAAGGATCCATATGAAGTAAGAAAGTAAGAATGGTCATTAAACAGTATATAAAACAGTATATATCTTAAGAATTTATCTTAATGGAAAAAAGAACATAATACAAAATTGTTTTGCTTGTTCCTTAACATGGTATAGTCTTTCGTTTACCTAGAAAAAAGTCTAAGACTATATTCAACCACTTACACCCTTCATCATACTATGGATCACCTTATAACTTTTATTACCATTTTCTCATCTTTGAATACAACACCCTTCTTCTGAGAGATATCAAATTCTTTTTCAAATTAGACACATACCTAATTACATCTAGTAGTTTCCAATTCCATGATGCATCCTAATCCTTAACCTAAACTTTAAGATTTCAATACTAATGATCATACATGTCTCAATATCTTTAAGGAGATTAAATTATTCTTTAAAGTTTTAGTAAACTCTTAAAATCACAAACAATTAGAAGTCACGTGTAATGAACACCTTAATCCATTATTCACTCAATATCATTAATGCTACTAGACATCATAAGAGCATATAATAATTCATAACCATTTTTTACTAGAGTTGCATCACCAAACCTACCAAACCTTGATGGTTTATGAAGGTTGTTAATTTTCTTCTGCTTATTAGGACAAGACCTCTTTATATGACCTTCCTTACAATGAGAACATCTAATGTTTGAAACATTACCTCCATCATTCATTTATCTTGACTTAGATTTTTCTACTTTGGACATTCTACCTTGTTATTAGTCCATCTTCCTTTTTTGGATGGTTTCACCTAAAACTTGCTTGTTTAATTTATTTGGACTCATAGCAATTCAAACTTCAAGAGAGAAGTCTCTCTTCCGTATAACTATATTTCTTAAAAATCATCATGCATCTTAACCAACAAACACAACAACAAAAATGTTTTATCTTCATCTTTAATATAGACATCAATATTCTCCATACTGAGAATTAGTTATTGAATTTATTTAGTTGTTCAAATATTACCTTTTCATTTCTCATATTATATGATTACAATGTTTGTTTCAAATATAAACTATTAACAAAGACTTTATTATATAGGTTTAATATCTTGGTAGGTCCCTATTTTAGTTCATAATCTCAAATAGGTCCCTCTTTTTTTGGCGTTTCAATTTGGTTCTTTTTATGTAAAATTGAAGCAATTAGAGGCTTACCGTCAAATTGCACAAATAGCCGTTTAAGTTTGGGTTACGTGACATTAAAACTGTATTCATTAATCTCACGTGGCATTAAAAACGATTTTTTTTAAAAAAAAATTGGATTGCACATGTGTTGAATCAAATTTAGGGAAGGACAAAGCTGGGAAAATGTAAAAATTTATGTGCAGCCCCCTAGGGTCGCATAAGGGAAAAC